ACACACACATATATATATATATATATATATATATATATATATATATATGTAGACAATCTCTTGCCTCTCAACACCACAGGAGGAATATAATTATGCATGAAAGCATTTAAGGTAATAGAGAAATTATTAATTAACGAACGCTGAGAACAGAATAATTTATAATTAATGAACACAATATTTAAATAGCATATTTTACACTTTCTTTCACTTTGCTTTTTATTTAAATATTAAATTGAGGAAAATATTATATTATCGAGAAATTTATACTGTTCGTTAATTTTAATTATCAAAGTTCACGACTTACAGTTTTAAAAAAAGAATTTAACTGCTAACTTTCGTGCGCATATATTTTAATAACGTTTAATCGTTATCTCTCATGTGCGCGAGATAACACGTTATTTAGTAAATAACTGTTACTTCAGTGGCTTTAGTGGTCGCATGGTATTTCACTTAAGAAGCAAATTAATATTGTTATTGATCAGTAGATATTGTTTAGTCATATATTCTTCCGTGATGACTAATTGCAATGATTTGGAATCATTCCGTCAGCGATGGTCATACAAATTCCGCAAGGCGTTAAGGTAAACCTTACGTGTTTTTTTTTCTGATTTTGTTGGTAGTATTAATAATATAATAATAAGTGCATATTAATATTAGTTGTCTGACAAAAACAATTTTTTACATATTGTATTGCTTATTTTAATTATGGAATGTATTTATATCAATTTTTTATTTTTGTTATAAAAATGGAAAAGATTTGTTCTTTCAATATGCAATATATAGTATAGAGTTAGGATTTATAAATTGAAGCCTTGGAAGATTTCAATCTTATTGTCTATCTATTAATTTCGAATGATGTAGTAATCTTCCTTTCGAATTCAATGTGCATACGTAGGAGGAATCCTGAGATGACGTAGCGATAGGATTGCCTTGGAAGCGAGAAAATCGAATAGTCGATTGTGAGGCGTTCGAAGAATTGCATTTACTCGTCATGGTCGTTTGATTCATTTTTAGACATGTCCACGTGGAAGTAACGCATGCAAATTTTACCGTATCTAATTATTATTACCTTACGAATAATATTATTTCTCATAAGACATTGTCTACTGTCTCTTAAAATCAGTTAAAAATCAATTATCAATAGACAACACTTTGAGATCATTTTGTTGATAATCATCACTAAGTTTAACAAAAAAATAAAGAAGATAAGATAAAGATCGTCAGTTCTGATCAAATCTATTTTCTCTCGAGGATAAATATCAGGAAAACTATATCTGTAATTTTAACGAAGTTATAATTGCTTAAATATTTGCAATGTTGGTAGAAACGACCGTTGAAAATTGCATCAGCCAATTAATAATAATTAATGTCCGCGTCTCAACGACGCTTTTCACTGGCCTCGCGTCTTTGTTATCTTATTTAAAAACATTTCGTCTTTATCATTTATCTCGCGCAATGAAGCCATCATTCGAATAACGTGCCGAGGAGTATATATACATTGTTATTATTACGGCACATTAAGGCCAATATTATAACTCGTTTTCGCACAATGAACGTAGGCACTCGCCCTAATCTTGTGATTGTATATTAACGTAACGACGCGTATCGACGCGACGCACCGCTTTATACTGATTTTTTCTTTTCTTTCCACGTGGTAATTTAATCATGATTTCCGCGAGACGGAGACATAGTGTGCAACGCGATGCCGGGTAAAACCAGTTCCCAGAATAAAAGCGAAAGAAGAAAGAGAGTCTGACCCCGGGGGAGTCCCGGTTCTACAGGGTGTACCGTAATGTATCGTCCGAATAATGGAGTGAACGGCTTTTTTTGTACTTTATCCAAATAGATATATTTTGAGAAAAAAGTACGCTTCATATAAGAGTTATCTGGTCGGATTTAATATAGGGAAAACGTGAGACTGCATTTTGTTTAATGAATAGTTTCATAGGCCGTCACGCAAAAGAAAAAGAGTTTATATTGATATTTTCAAATGTAAATTGGTTCATGGTGATGATATTTTATGAAAAAAGAAATAATCATTAGAGAAGGAGATTTTTATGTTTATGATAAACAACTCATATATTTATGATAAATATTTATTACTATTCATTTTTTGAAATGTTATATACAATAATATTTTAGACATATTTTATATAAAGCTTTATTGATTAAAATATAGACTAAATATTTTATGTAATATTTATGATAAATATAAATAAATATTTATAGTAACTATTTTTTACTTGGATTCTAATGTGTCTTATTAAATACTTTCATTAAATTCATTTCATCACATTTAGTACAACATTTACAATAAATATTTTACAATAATATTTACAATAAATGTTTATGATCTGTGTAATCTAAAATCACAAAAATATTTACAAAGTATTTCAAATAAGTCCTACAAATATTTATATATAAATATTTTGTAAATATTTTATGAATATTATGTGCTGTATCTGGGAAGATATGATAAGTAGTCTTTTTAAAAAACTTGTTTATTTATCAGAAAGTAACTTTGACGTTCGAATATTTTTTTCGAATTATCAAATGTTTTCGCTCTGTTAATCTTTTACTTACAATATAAAATTTTTTCTCAAATTCCAATAGGATTATTAACTATCGCAATTTGATTCATTGTGAAAAATGAAAAGTATTATACATACATTATGATAACGTCATCATACGAACATAGTAAAAACTTGTTCACTTTAGTACTTTATCGACGGCAGGTGTGCACTTTAATACGATGTACATTATATATGCCAGCTGCTTGAAACTATACACGTGTTTGCCTGAAGGCAGTATACGTGGATTGCCAGAAAAAGCAAAAAAGTATTATCACATATTATAATCAAACTTTTTCGTAAAATGTATCATTTAAATCCATTAAATTATTCTATACATACAAACACATTTTACCAATTTTTTCTCTTCGTTATTAACTCGCTCATTTATGATTTTATCCTGGTAGAAAAATTTCGCTGAAATTATTCTATGTTTTGAAACATTTTTCGACAAAATTTCAGCAAAATTTCAGCAAAATTTCAGAGAAATTTCAAAGTAATTTTAGTTCAGTTTCAACGATTTTTCAGTATGTTAGCTGAAAAATTCAGTAAATTTTCAACAATTTCGCTGAAATGTTCCAAAACGTGGAATAATTTCAGCGAAATTTTTTCACCGGAGTGTTTATCCGTAAATGTTTGTTCGTAATTGTTTGTTCTAACTCAATCTGAATTATCTCAATAATAGCGTGTGTTATTAATGTTTTTAACTCGATCATTTCTCTCATCATTGTGATAACAGTAATTTTGATAATAGCACGTTTTTTTATTTCTCTCGTCGTTGTGATTTAATATACCTACTGTTGAGGAAAAGTAGGAAGAAGATTACTCCAAGCGAAACTCCACGCATTCACGGTCAATTGATTTTCATTTTGCTATTCGTTTTTCGGATTCTACTGTGTGATAGATACTGTGCGAAAGACGCGCGTTCTCGGCTAATGCGTCCATAAATTGCATGATTTTGTTGCATCGTGACTCGCCGGAAAAACGAAAGAATGACAGGAAGCATGTATTTTCACGAGGAAACGTTACGACAGAATAAATGTTGAGTTAGCAGACTTTTACTCCCTTTTCCGTCGCCAAGTTCTCGCTTGCAGATTGATGATACGTCCGTTATGTATACGGAAAAACTTCGAAGAAGTACCTTTCTTGCGTTTCACATTTTGCATGCTCCCGTGACGAAGTGAAAGATAATTTTATGAGAAAATGAAAAGCATAGCTATTATATTAACATAAAAGAAAATGCATCACATTTCTTAACTTTGTTATTCAATTCTTCTTCTTTGTATTACACAGAATGAGTGTTAATATTAAATATAAAAAAATTTATGTATATATATATTACAAATTATAGATACTTGATGCATTTTTTATAGGTATAATTTTACGTACTTTGATAAGCATGAAACTAAATAACGTATCTGCTTTTTGTCATAAAGTATCACTAGAATTATTATCGCTACTCCATAAAAATGTTTATTATTATATTTTTTTTGTGATTTTTACAGTATTTTCACAGAATTTCCATTAAATCAAACGTATATAAAGTTGGATATGTTTTTTGAATCATCCAACCGTATGTTTTGTAAATATTTCTCAACATTTATTCTATTATCGATGTTAAAACATGATAAAATTTGGGTATTTAATTATGTTACTAATGTATTATAGTTATGAGAGAGAAAGAGAGAGAGAGAGAGAGAGAGAAAGAGAGAATTTAAGATGCTTAATCAGAAAACCGTGAAACTCGCCTCAGGGAATTCGTAATGAATGATGTTTGATTTGATTAGATGAAATGAGAGCGATAAAAATCATTCTTTTCAACACTTTTTATAATATTGTTTTATATTTATATGTAAGTTTTTCTTGGCTTGTTGTTTAATAATTAAAATTAATTATTAGAAAGTATATTATAGTTATAATATAGAATAGAAGTTTATTACTCTCTTTAGCTTATATATTATAATTATAATGTACTTTATTATAATATACTTTAATACAAATCTTATTACAAATAAAAGATTAATAAGACTCATAAATTTAAAAAATATTACTTAGAAAGAAAAGCTAATATGAGAGTCAAATACAATTCTCAATGTGTAAAATAAAACAACTTACACAATACTCTCTCGCAAAAGTTTTTTAATTTTAAGGTATGAGATATATTTTATTTCAAATTGCTTGATTAATTATGATAAGATCATGATAATATTTTTTAATGTTATTATGTTATCAAAACTGATTGATACTTCTGGGTATTCTATTCGATTTTTTACTTATGTTCCACTTCGTTGCGCGATCGATAAAAACTGATAAGTCCTCGATGACAGTTTCAGTATATTCTAGTCTGTCGTAACAATTTAATCCTTTTTCTACGAAACGAAACCTATTTTTTCTCAACATGGAAATTTGTGAGATGAAAAGATGGGACGTCGTGCTGGAGTACTTTAAGGATTTCCGAGAGCTATTTAAGTTAGTGAGTACACTCAGCTTCCATTTTCTTTAATTTCTTTAGTTAAGATTCTAACATGTCTCCGATAAATTTCATATGATAAATGTTCAAACAGAAATGGATGGAAAGAATGATAATTTAAAAATTTTTTTCTTAGATTTTTTTGTTAGATCAATCTTGTGATGAAAATGAAAAAGAAGTGAGACATCAGAGACTTAGATTTTCTGTACATATTACGAAAAACATAAAATATTAATTAGCTGACGATACGACGGTACTTTCGGAGCATTTCTCATAAAGAACTGTCGAGTAACTCCGATGCAAGTCCATCATCTTCTCAGAAATACACCGTTTACATTTATGTTACCGTATGTTCATTGTTCTCGTGTAAAAATTATAATGTCTGCGAATGATGCATAGATATGTTTGCGGATTTTCTAGCGGAATTTTTCATGACCTGAATTACTTTTGCGATAAGCCTTGTGACTTTACGAGAATTGCGTAGATGCATTTCTTGTGTAATTCATTTCTTATGGGATTTTAACGGTAGACGTATAATTATGCGAAAACTAATTAAAATAATCTTGCAAATTGTTTCGTATTATTCGTTATGATTAAATTTAAATTAATTTAAACAACAAAACTTCGAAAAAGAATAAATGTGCTTGTTAATTTATTTGAGTATAATTTATAAATTAAAATCTTAAATTATATAAAGTTTATATTTCTCTTTCTGTTTCTTGTAAAAGAAAATTAATGAATTTACTATATTTACTATATTAAAAAACTCTCTGAAATCAATAAGATATTCACATTCATTTCATTCTAGGGTAGAACTACTAATTGTGGATTCCTCTTTAAAAAAAAATTTATATTTTTATCCAGAACAATATCAAACAATTAATAAAATATTTAATAGTCATAATTGATCATAAAGATTACATTACGAATGATTTTATTCCATTTCATTGCCGTTTTATACGTTTTAATTTGGATTAAATAAAGTAATGGCAATTATCCACAATTAGACCTCATATACTAATTGCGGACCAATTCACCAAATGCTTTATCCTTTTTGGTGACGTTATTACATCCCATAAGGATAATAAAAATGATTTGCGCATGCATACCGTAATATATATAACGAAATTGATGATCCACAGTTCTGGTTCTTGGGTCTAATTGTGAATAATGATGCATTTGTAACACATTCAAGTTTTTATTTAAAATTAATGACAATTACAAATTAATAATTTTTAAAAATTGATGAAAAATAAATGTTTAGCAATAAAAAAAGAGTTAAATTATGAATAATAACACTGTTTTGCATATAGACGTGTACACCATTTTATATTCTATTTTCATAGTTAAAACAAATAAATCTTTTCGGAATGGCACCATTTGTAAGATTTGGCAAGTTTTTAAACATTTTTATAATAAATTTACGCAATAAAAGCATCGTTGTAACATAGTGATTATCCCTTAGTATTTCACTTTATGAAATTTGTTGATATTTGATACTTAATGAGTTTTTAACTTAATTAATAAATTAATTATATTTTAAATTAATTATATTTTATTATCTATATATACACAATATCCTCTTTTGTAATAAATGTATATCTTTTCTGCGTGACAGAAATCGCGTTGTGAAAAAAATTGCTGTCATATATTGCACAATGTTATCAAGAATGGTATTGCTGCAAGTTTGATTTTATCAGACATTATCTAATATTATCATCACTCAGCAGTAGCTATACGAAAAATTAGTATAAATGAAGATTAAAAAAAAAGTTTTTAAAGGATAAATGTTTTGTATGATTTCATGATGCAATTTTATCGAATTTTCGATGAAAGGATTAATGATTTCTTTTCTCGGATAGATTGACGCGAATGGAGATGGTTTCATCGATGTTACCGAGTTACGAAACGCTTTGGACGTTTGCGGTTTCAAAATGCCGGGCTACAAAGTGCGTCAGATGATCGAGGAATACGATGATAAGCAGCGGTTGGAGCACAAAGGTCGGCTCTCCTTCGAAGAGTTTGAAAAGCTTTGCAAGGAACTCAAAGCCAATGAATTGGGCTCCACGTTCAAGCAAGTTGTGTCGAAAAAGGAGAATCTTGAGACTTTGGGTGGAATTTCCGAGGCATCCAGCGAAGGAACTACGCATTCTGTCAGACTCGAGGAACAACTAGCATTCAGCGATTGGATAAACACTAATTTGTCGCACGATCCCGATTTGAAGCACCTGCTGCTTATCGATCCCGAAGGAAAGACGCTCTATGATAAGGTCAAGGATGGAATATTACTCTGGTGTGTACAATGTATTATTATTATCCAGTTCTACGTTATCTCTTTTTGTCATTATTTCCATAATATAAACCTTCCTAAATATATTATTATTAATATATTTAAAAAATCGAATAATGAAATTTATTTTTATTTTCGAATTATATTCTAAAATTTTATTGAGATCTATTTTTTAAATATTTAAATTGATAAATAATGTTATTAAAAGTAATAAAAAATATAACTGGAACTAACAAGCATCCATAAATTTCGATTAATTTTTAAATATAATAATATTGAAATTCTATCAATTTATTTTACGATTGATAAATGACTCTAAAATTAGTTAACCTATCAAAAATTAATTTTACACCTATTTTTCAGTAAAATAATCAATCATTCTTGCCCGGACACCATTGACGAGCGTACAATCAACAAGAAAAATCTGACGTTGTATAAGAAGCATGAAAACTTGACACTAGCTCTGTCTTCAGCGCAAGCTATTGGCTGCAACATCATAAACATCGATGCCCATGATCTCACCAAAGGTTCGCCCCATTTGGTGCTAGGTTTGCTCTGGCAGATCATCCGAATCGGCTTATTTAACCAGATCACTCTCGAGAACTGCCCTGGTTTAGCTACTCTCCTGCAGGAAGGTGAACGAATCGAAGATTTGTTGAAGTTATCTCCGGAAGCCATTCTTCTCAGATGGGTAAACCATCACTTGGAGAATGCTGGCATCGCCAGGCGGTGCAATAACTTCCAATCTGACATTACGGATTCTGAGATTTATACTTATCTCATCAAACAAATCGCACCCAACTCGGCTGGCGTTACTTTGGAAGCCTTGATGGAACCGAATCACATGTCTAGGGCGGAGATTATGCTCCAACAAGCCGCAAAATTGGGTTGTCGTAGTTTTGTGACACCTAGTGATGTCGTGAATGGCATTTATAAGCTCAATTTAGCCTTCGTCGCGAATATGTTTAACAATTACCCTGGCTTAGATAAGCCAAAAAGTAACATTGAAGGTTTAGAATCTTTAGAGGAGACGCGAGAGGAAAAGACCTATAGAAATTGGATGAACTCAATGGGCGTATCGCCACATGTCAATTGGCTCTACTCAGATCTTGCTGATGGACTGGTAATCTTTCAGTTGTACGATATCATCAAGCCAGGCACTGTAAATTGGAATAAGGTGCACAAGAAATTCACAAAACTTCGAAAGTTTATGGAGGCATTAGAGAACTGCAATTACGCTGTCGAGTTAGGTAAACAGATGAACTTCTCGCTTGTGGGCATCGCCGGAAAGGATATTAACGATGGAAATGCAACCTTAACATTGGCTCTGATATGGCAGTTGATGAGATCATATACGTTGTCGATTCTGACGTCTCTAGCGGGAACTCAGGGAAGTACTGTAGAGAAAGAAATCATTCAATGGGTGAATTCTAAACTCCAGGCAGCTGGAAAAAGCAGTATCAAAGGATTCCAGGATTATTCAATAGCAGATGGCAAAGTCGTCCTCGATCTCATCGAAGCAATCAAGCCCGGCTCGGTTAATTACAATCTCGTTAAGGAGGGTGGAACTGAACATGTAAGATTTCCACTTTTCTCGATTTTTGAGAGCTTGTGTTCTCAATTAATGTCCAAGTTAATGTGATTTGTGTTATAATAACTACTTTTATAAGTATGATTAATCGTACTTATAAAAGTAGTATATACTATGTTTTATCTTCATTTATCTTTGTCTCACGTTATATTGATATCGAGCTTTGTCGGCTAATTTAATTCATAATGCAAGTTAATTAAACCTTGCAAAACTTTAAATTGCACAACAATAATTTTAATAAATTTGAATCAAATATTGTCAAATTTTTTTTTTAATTTTAAAGGAGATACTGATCATATTCTGAAAGAACAAAATAAAACCTCAAAAACTTTTGCAGATTTTTATTCTTTTATGACTTATATTACTTATAGTATTGGTAAAATTTAATGAATATATATCCAAATCAATCTCAAATTTTTGTTTTAATCGATAAAAATAATCTGTAATTGTAAAGTTCTTAGCAAATCAAACCCTCATTACATATATGTTAGTAGAAAAACACTTGTCTCTACTAATTATCCAGCATATTCAAATAATTTATACCCACAAATTGTTTCCTTTAATTTTCAAATATCTGTCTCCATGCCTGTAGGTATTAACCGTATCTATAATTAATGTTTAATAAATTGGAAATTTTTCTCCTATATTACTCACGGAAGTTTAAAGCTGAAAGTTTCCACGAAAATGTGGAACATTCTAATTTAAATGAATCAATCCTTCTTGACACCTTATTGTTGGCATGACTAATCAACAACTATTGTTTTTTTTTTGTTGCACAGGAGAATCTGGACAATGCAAAGTACGCGATATCTTTGGCGCGAAAGTGCGGTGCGCGTGTCTACGCGTTACCGGAAGATATTACCGAGGTGAAGCCAAAAATGGTGATGACGGTATTTGCCTGCCTGATGGCGATGGACTACATGCCGAATATGGACTCTGTGAAAAATCAACAGAACAACGTAAATAACGGCCAATAATGTCGGCATCAATCCGTCACCGTGTTGTTCCACCTGACGCGTGCCGTTTATCTTTTGTATACAAGAACTTTTGATCGGATTGCGCCGCACACGCTTCTTCCATGAGCGTAATATTTGTACATACGTAGATTAAGTTAATTTGTTTTGAAGAGAATATTAGGGATTACTACTGCTAGGAAAAATTCATGAAATGAGAAGGGGAACTCCTTTGGAATCTGACGAAATATCATTTGATCCCTGTTTGTTAAAAACAAAAAAATACATAACGAAATACATAACAAGGAATGTTAAGATTATATTTGGTATAAGAAATTATATTATTACTATAAAGTTTGGATATTTTTTGATTAAAACGTACGAATATGTCTATATAGTCAATTAAATGTATGTGCGATACAAGATTTCCAAATTTAAAATAATTTTTAAGTAGACTATTATAAAATGGCGATAATAACTTTGATCTAAGTATTCAAGATTTATCAAAATGTCGATATTTCTCGTGCCAGAAAGTGTATTTACTTACAAAATAAGAAAAGTACAGATTATTATGTGTAAATCGCTTGAATCGGCACTATTTATTCTAAATACTTTTCTACTATGTGCGATTTATCATATCTTACTGTGCAAAGTGGAATTCTCCTTCTTCATTGTTTATGCAATCATATCATTCGTTTTTACATTTACATATATCACATCAGGTTTGTATAAATCGATTTTACATCGAATACTCAAGTGAAACAAATAGAAAACATGCTAGAAACCATTGAGAAATATTCAAAACGCATACTCAAAGATTCAGAATATACAGGGTATACCGGTATTCATTTCAACAATAGATTTTTTAGAAAAATTTTAATTTTGATTCTGTTAGCAAGAGCATTGATCATTGAACCTTAAAATTATTATTTATTGCAAAATAATAATTTTCACGAAAATTATTTATTATTCTTCAAAGAAACAAAATAATTTTAATTAATTTTTTTGTCAAGAAATTAAAGTTTTCTACTATTTTGTATACATTTTATGTAGATAAATCATCTTGTTTTGCAAATACGTGCTACATAGAATAATTTAACATTCAAATTACATAGTACAGTCATAAATATATACTTAACACGAAATACATACATACCTATTTGATAATCTAGATGTAAGAGATTTGTGATCTATTTAAATGGTTATTTTATACACTCGGTGATTCACAGTATTCAATCAGAAGGTTATAAGTCATAACGGTCTAAAACTTTTTGATTGACTATTTTTCTTGCACATTAATATTGCATGAATGAATTTTATATCCAGCGTAATTTACAATGACTGTACAAATTATATACTTTATATTTCTTTCTATACACGAGAATATCGAGAATCACTTTTTATACATCTTGTCTGGCTTTAAACAAGAATTAATTCTTGAAATAGGAAGAAGAAGGCCTTTTGATACTTTTCTTATGAAATCTGCTCTCTCACTAGCGTGGCAATAACTTCTATCGTCATTAACATATTCGACATAATGCATATGTGAAAGGTATTAGTCGACGACTGATCGTATACTTTGTGAATGGACGACAATGAATAATAATTATGTTGACGCACAAAAGTAATTGTAATCGTGCCATTATAAGTATTGAAATTTAAAACTAATTCTGATGATTCAATATTTACAATAGATTTATAATCGATTCGAATCATAACATACTTATGAATCTAAAACAATATTCGTGATTGTTATCTGCGAATGAAATAATTAAAAAACGCAAATTTCTTTCGAGCTTGCGTATCTTTGCAATGTGTTATTGTTACACGCAGCGTATATAGATGTATATAGAAATTGTATTCAGAAATTGTTTTAAAAAAATTATTACTCTTTTTCTAATCAAGTGAAAGTTTAGTCGCAAGATTCATTATTGATTAAAGTTTTTTTAGAAACGAACAATGTGAAATAAGACTGCAATATGAACACACAATAAGTAACAAAAAGGCCTTATTGGTCTGAGCTGGATTGAGCTAGAAATATGAATAATTTATTTTTACATCATTTATAATTCAGCATTGAAAAATACATTTTTATAAATACTATATATTTCCGTATAAATTTATATAGAACTGAATATGTATATAAAAATTCATACCGAAATATTATTTAGGCATTATAATATTCAGCTCAGAAATATTTTGGGACGAACTCCATTTGTATTTGTATTGCGTAATTATTTTTGTGCATTATATTTTAAAAATTACTGTAAGGGAAGCGTATTGGAGATTTATTAAAAATTTAGCATGCTTCTTGCATTTACAATTGTGTAGTTGATTTAGATTAACGACGAATCAACTATTAATTATAACGGACGCTAAGTATAATTATGTTAGAAGATATGAGAAATTATCTACAATGAATTAAGTGCAATGCATGTTATCGCGATTTGCACAAATACTTTTCCAAATTAGTTTTTTGTGAATAAATTCATTGCCTAAAAGTATTCATTAATGTCAAGGTTGCATTATCATTCCAAGAGAATACGAAATAGATATGGATATAATTACAATGCATTCACTTATAAATACGAGAAAAATTGGATTAAAGCTCAAAAATGAAATTTAATGTGATTCGAATTTGAAACACGTTTATATTAGCTCTGTGTGTGTTCACGCGATTCAAAAATTCTCAAGGGCCATTTGCAATTTGACTAATTAGAATTAAGTATCGCAATCATTGAATAATTCTCAATTATGATGATTATTGTATACGTATACATATTTCATACATAGACACATACGCGTGTATACACACACATACACGCACATTCCATATTGTGTGTTTACGTGAACATGCGTCCATCATTCTAGTTATAATTTAATGTATGCGTAATATAAATAAAAAAATTTACTATGTGCATTTACTATTTACTAAGTTTTATTGCATTACTATTAACTATAATAGCAATAATACATAATTAAACTTTTAAAGAAATAATTTTAAGAATATTTGATTAAATCGAATTATTTTGTGTCTATTTTATTACTGTATATATATATACATATTTCTATAATAAGCTTTTACTTTTTACATTGTTTTATTCTCTTATTATATAAATAATTAGAGTCCGATCCGAACTTTTACCGAAACTGGAAACTAACATTCATTACGTATCAGTTTTGATTGAAACCATATAGCTCTTCTTCATAAATATTAATTTTAATATGTGTAATTATTGTTTCAATAATTAAATTATGATGTTTATGAAGAAGAAGTACTTATATTCTTTAGCCAAAATTGACATAAAACCAATATTTCAATTCGATTTCGGCCGAAACTTAATTATTGTTTCAATAAAGATAAATTATGATATTTATGAAGAAAAAGTATATGATATATATAGACATGTTTACATATAGAATTCCTATTTTTTAATTTTGATTTCAGTTTCGATTGAAATTGACATACAGCCGAGTGTTTCGATTCAATTTCGGCAAAAGTTTCGGTCAGACTTTATAAACAAGACTTTATATACGTGTAGTAAATTTTAATATCTATCATTTTATAATAGTTTGCGCTTTTGCATTTCTAAAGATTTTTATCATTTTCTTTTAGAATTAATTTAATTGTATTCATAACATTAGTATTTTTAATAATTATTATTAATAGGAAGTAGAAATACTTTTTATGTCATGATTAGCAAGTATTTTGGTCTCGCCCGGTTTCACGATCGCGGGCGGCTCTTTCGTGGCAGGCTGAATGTCTTCCAAGATTATTTTTGTAATTTCGATTATATTATATGTCTTGTGGTTTGAAACCGATGTACCCTTCCTTGTTGTTGATGAACTAAAACTCGTTTCACTGATTTCCATATGACTAATCATAATATCCTAAAAAAATGACACGTACAAATTAAGAATAATTTCTGATTTTACGCTTCTTTTCGAGCACGAAGTATTAGCCAAAAATTGATACAAAAATAAATTTAATTCGTTAAAAGTGAATAAAAAACATACCCAAACGATACAATCTAAAATTATGACACAAGACGTCTTTAAGGCATCTTTTAGACGCAAAAAACGTTTTATGATCTGATTTTAGACGCTTTGTTATCTGGATATAAGCAGACTATTCACAATATTATCGTAAATAACTTACTAAATCCGCTTGCAAGCGTTGATAGACAACCGTATCACCATATTTGCGAAAGTAACTGTCTGCGTAGCAGCTGCAATGATTAAGATTCGTCTGTTTATTGATGATAAGAGTCTCTGTGGAAGTCATATGCAATCTCGGTGGTAATAATTTTAATCGAAATCTTGTTTCGTTCGGATTTCCGTCCCCAGACTGATGATACACATCGAAGGTGGCGTTGCATCTGCCTATGGTGGATGCGGTTTCACCCTCAAATGTGCCATCCCCGATATCATTAAAATCGTTGCCGGGATGTAGCTGCTCAGCCACCATCTTCAAGATGTTGAGGTCATAGGTCCGCGTCAGCTGGCTTGTGATGATATTCTCGATGCCTTTCTCATCAAAAAATAACTCGATAGGCGCTTCAGTAATATTTTTGCGTCGGTTCACGATATTGTCTTCCTCACCGATCATACCAAAATCAAAGCCATCGACGTACCTAAGACTACAGCTCAGAGTATTATTCCTCGGAATGCAATGCAATCGAGAGGTGATACGATAGCCGGACGGATTACCGCATGCTGGACGAGAACACTGCGGTATCCCTGTCACGTTCATGTGAACAGTGAAGATGTACTCTGGTCCAAATGGCCACGCACCATCCTCGATAGGAAGTTGCACGGCTAAAGAATTAAAATTTTTATGAGGCAATTTATAAACATTATCACTCTTATCGTTAGATCATTATTAATTATCGCGGCTTTATATTTTATTTGTAACATTTATTATCTATTTATTGAAAGACATACACTATAAAAAAATTCTTTTTTAAACGTTATACACACAATTAGGTCATTAGTGTCCTACGCACTTTTTTTTCTAGAAACTAAAAACATTTAATTAAATGGTCCCATCTTTTCCTATTTTTTTTAAGTATACAACTTTATAAAAATATTTTCCGAAGTATATGTAAGAATCACTTAATAATTGTTTTATACTCATAAAAGTAATGAAAATTAATTTGAAACACAAACGATTTATCATGTAACAAAAGTCCGAAAAATCATCGTGTGTATTAAAAGTTAATTTCAAGAAAGAGAAGAAATAAAATTTATAAAGAAACATATAATTTATGATATGTTAATTTATGAACAGTTGACTTACCTAAAAAGAATGGTATAAATGTTGCAACGATCATATCACCGTATATATAAATCGTGGTTTGACGCCACTCTTAATCTTGAAAGCGCTTTTATACTGCCTTTATATCGTTAAGGACATTCTTATTATGTAATTCATTTTAATTCACCCGACGCATCAGCGCCAATTATATTAGAAGACTTCGTGGAAATGTAATCCACTTGCTTTTGACCTTTAACAGATTTGCTACAATTGCATATTTCCTAGACAAGATTAAAATTTTATGCGTTGCAATTAAAATTTTACGTATTACTTAAATTCAAAATTTTATGCGAGAGTATTCGTCCAAAATTCGTTGCAGGAAATATTATCCTCTTATGAAATTTCTGTGACGAAACTATATGATATATAGTTACTTATCGGATAAATTATTCATTAACCTGCCTCTGAAAATATTGATAGCTTATAGTTTTTTTCAGAAAATATAGAGAATTTCTCCCTAGAATTTTAGTTAAAACGAATTAGTAGATTAGAAGTGGTAGCGTGGATAAAAAGAGTTAAGGGATCAAAGACGAAAAGAAGAACTTAATTTTATATACAAGATACTGTTTATTTGATTCTGTTTACAGTTTGATAATCTTAATTTGATTAAATATTTAATACCAGCAAATTGTATAGCTTGCCTGCAATATGTAACGTAATATATAGATATATATTATCAGAGACAATATATAGATATATATTGTCGTTTTAATTTATAAAATTGCTTGGTATATCATTGTTAGTATTTAAATCTATCAGTTCGGGGTAGGACAGAGTCGGAAGTTCATTTGGCGCAGGTTCAATGCTGTTTAGATTAATCTGTATTATTTCTTTAAACGATAACGTCCCCATTTCGGATTCTTCAGTCGGAAATCTTACTATTCCATCGAATTCAGTGAAGGTTTCGAATTTGTTTGAATTGATCTGTATTTTGCTAATAAATCTCCTCTGCAAAAAAGTACAAGGCAAAAATTTATATATGTACACAGATATACGCACGTACATACCATATCTAAGATTCCCCTTGAAAAATCGACATATCGCGGTGGATTAATACATCCCATCCGAGATTTCTCGATCGAGAGAGTCGTCCCAGATTTCGCGTCGATCAATGGCAATATCCTGAGCCGAAAATTAGTATTTATTTCCTCGATCGTGTCAATCTCGGCTTCTTCACGCATGATCTTGTACGCGGCCGCGCAATCGCCCATCGTCGAGTTCTCCCTGGCCATAAATTGCGACGTGTCAATGTTTCGCCGATCGACAATCACGTTAAACTGAGTGGCGATCTTTCGAAGAACGTTTACGACTTCCATGCGAGACGGCGGCTCGATCACCAGGCCTTCCACACCGTGCTCGTTAAATTTAATCTCAAATATTTGTTCCGTTTGTGCCTCCCGCGTCATGTTGTAATTGTCGAATATTTCCGATATCGTAATATTATATAAATGGCAGAATATAGTGTCTGATGTTTTAGGACGACATTTTACTGTAGAGATCAATTGTATCTTTTGAACATGATCGTGGGGATCTGGTTTTATTACATAAGTGATATTCATATCATACGAGTATTCCGGCCCGAACGTCCATTCCGACGTATCGTTGATGATTACGTAGGCGGCTAAGTAAATTTAATTAAATTTAATGTTAATAACTAGCATTTTTCACTAAAAAGATTTATTTTTTGTAAATGTAACTTTTAGGGTCAGTTTCACCAACGTCAGTTACTTTATCCGCCGATTAATGTATTGCCAACTGCGCGTTAAACTGAAAACTCATCATCTTTAATCTAATTTCGAAAGTATGTATTTGTAAAAAATAATCAAATATATTTACATTTGTTTTATTTATTACCTCCACACAACACTTTTTTTTACTATTACTAACAAGAATAAGTTAGGAAGACAGATTTTTAAGTCTTGCTGTTGGCTATTCTGGTGATGAAGTTAATCGACGGATAAGCTTAACTGGTGTTGGTGAAACTAGCCCTTAAAATCTCTAATTATATACAATATTCTCTCTCTCTCTCTCTCTCTCTCTCTTTCTCCTCCCTTTTTAACCGATCTTTTTTGCTTTTAAAATTTGAATCAAACTTAAAGAAAATTTTTTGAAACTTCTCTCAATTAAACTATTCAGAAATCGATATATAGTCACGACTCAAATTAAATTTGTATACGTGTAATAGAAAGTACAGCTTTAAAGCAAATTACAGAGTTTTTAAAAAAATTAGTGACCGAAAACTATCTAGATATATATAATTATATTTCAATTTCCTTGATAATTTATTTTTATTTTGCTTTACTTTGTTTTTTTTTTTTTTTCTTTAGGAAGTTTGGATAGACGAATGCAACACATTGAATGGTAAGCACGTGGATTCAAGTAGTTGTACTTGTTAATGGCTTACCGACCTAGGAAGTACGGGATCACGCTGGCGTACATCTCGCAACAATGCGCCTTGCTACACTCTACACGTACGTTGATACTACTCCTCTTACACTCGTACGCTCCTTTATATCAGAACGTGCTCATAATTTAACAGCATAATATTCAACAGCGCTTGCGTCTATAGTGAACCCCAGGATGCCGTATATTATGACCGCATATGACGTATGCACGTTCATATACATATACGATCATACATAATTACATAATAATATAAATAATAATATAAAGAACGTTTTAATTTCAACCATTTTGTTTATGAACTTAATAATATTGTACTGTAATCAATTCTATGAAAATGGAAAATTTTTATTACATGATCTTAAAGCGTATTTATGACATTGTGCCAATAGATTTTACATTAATTTCAAAGATATTTTGTTCTTTAAATTAAATTAGGCGTTCTTTTTACTATTAGATTATTCTTATAATTATAATTGTAAAGTAATATTGTGTCATTATTTATTCGACAAATACATTTTGTCAAGCGAAAATCAGGTGAATTTGTTGAAAGTAAATTATATTTTATAGAAGCAAATATTTTTTAGGCAGGTTTGTATTAAAAGCAGAAGTCTCTTTACACACGAGCTTTAAACGAAGTCAAATTAGTTCGCTCTGGATGTGAATTGTAGCGAGAACAATCACTGACAATACAGCGAGCGATAACACTTACCAAGAAGATATTCAAAGAATTAATGCCAATTTCAAGCTGCATTATTTTTAAACAACCCTTTATTACGATTGCATTTAACAATTTCTAAACTATAAATAAAATAATATAATTTTACTTTAAATCATATACATATGTATATTTTTAGTATTTTCAAATAACGTTAAATTTTATAAACAGAAATTCCATTACAAAATATTGAATATTAATAATAGATTATTGAATATATATATTATTTGTAACACTAACTTTCATATATAGATCTGTGAAACAGTTTCCTGGATTTTCTTCAACATGGGGCACGACAAATATTTCAAATTATTCGTCTTCCGGAATAGTTTGCAAATTTGAAAAAGCAAATAGACTTGTCGAGGCTGGATTTTGGATCTCTGGCAGTGAAATTTTCAAAGTTTCAATGAGATCTATTCGCTTCAATTTTAGGCTTATCTTTTGATAAGGACGCATAATTCGTGATTTATTTGCCGTTTTCATTACACCCTCCGATATTGTGTAAGATACAAATTTATCTTTTGAGATAGTGATATGACTGGTGGAAGTGGTCTGAAAAAAGGGAAAGACACATTTCGATTTTAAAATATTCTCCAAGCCAGTAATTGTAAAAAAATTGGTATGTTACAAAATAACAAAGTTTTGTGATATATATATATTAGGTGCGCAACTAAGTTCTCGCTGTTATTTTGATGCATTTTAATCAAAATAACAGCGAGAACTTAGTTGCGCAAAGTTGCCTAATATATATATAAAATTTAATTACGAGAAATCGAACTTTTGAAAGATTCTACTGATAAGAAATAGATTATTTCAAAACCTTTTTATCAAGTTTTCAATATATTAATAATTTTGCTTTCGTTGGAAAATTATTAAGAATTGTATCTTTTCATTAATCAATTTAAATAACTTTAAACAATTTCTTTATCATACCATATCCATATAGAGTTGCTTATCACCGCGACTATAATCCTCATCATTTCCAAAGAAATATATTATTCTTCGCGGGCATCTTTTCGGCTGTCTGATTTTTTCCACCTGGAGCCTTTCTATAACTAAAGGACTCTCGAGTTCTACGTTCGATGGCATGAATCCGATCTCGAATTTCTCAGTCTCCTCAATAGAATCATCGTCATTTTCCCGGAAATCCGGATTACGAACGATCTTAACGTCAACTTCGCAGTGACCCACTGTCGAATTTTCCATAATTGTAAATCTATCACGACGTTCCTGTATCTCGAAACCAACATTCAATTGGCTGACTATACTCTTGATCATGTCAAGCCTCCATCTAGGAATCGATCTGTGTACCACCAGATTTTCAATACCCTTCGAATTGAATCTGATTTCGAAGGGTTCATCGCCCACGAATTTATATCTCGTAGGCACAAAATCCTTCGCGTTCGAACATCTATTGTCTTTTGGATCGGGACGTTTGATTAAAGAGTTCTGGAAATAGCAGCTGAGACTGTCGTCTCCCTTAGGACGACACTTAAGCTCGGTGGCAATCATAGCGCAGAAATTATCATTTTCCTGAACAATGTTGGCCAGGGATGTGTTCACGAGAACGTCGTACGTGTATTCCGGACTCGCCCATTTTGTTTGTTCATACTGCCGATGGACAGTAATATTTGCAACTATATAATACAAAAACATAATTAAATAGATTGATAGAGATATGATATTATGATTGATAAAGAGTGAAGTAAAAAGTTAATTTTTATTTATCAGATGAAAACATTATTTTGACAAGTAAGCGAAATCGATATAAATAAAATAATGTTGTAAAATATGATTGTGAGGTACGAATTATTGAATTTTAAAAATATTATTCTACTATAAAGTCTGTATTAATGATATAGACGAAAGAAATTTTTAAAACGTACCTAGAAAAAATGGCAGAATCGTCACTAACATAGCTGATATCCTCACTTTAACTGATGCTTCTGCCCATCATCCATCTTCTCTTTATAGGAAAGACCTTAATGTCTTAATTTATAGTCATCTACTTGAAAATAATGTCACGAAGTACCATTTCCGCTTAAATTCTGCAGATATCTTCCGTATTGGATGTGATAAGAACATTGCTTTCGTACTTTAGAACTACTTTAATAATATGGCACGCATTGCAAGTGCGATTTAGATGTAATTGCTAAATTTGTCTGCGTTTGTTAACTACTGTTTGCATATAACTTTACATATGTATAACTTATAAAAATATATATTTATATTTATATTTTTTATACTCATAAAAAATATATTTTTTCGTAATTTTTTAATAAAACGTGAAAAATTATATACAAAAATAAATACAAAAATTATGTAAAATAATGACACAAAGCTCAAATGAGATAAATCAAACGAAAAATATATGATGGCTTGTTGAACCAGTCGCTAGATGTACATGTGAAAAATGATTTATTCTATTAAATGTACATACGTTTTGATCCACACTTCGGATTCTTTTCACTACAATACAATCTGAAGTCCGAATATTCGCTTTAACAAAGTCATTATGTATTTTCTGGTGCACTATGCAAATAATTAAAAAATATGGTGCAATTAATCTATTACATTATATAATAATATTAGGTGTTGGAATTAATTCGTAGCGTTTTTTAATGAAAGAATGTTATTTATTTCACATGAGCATTAAAAAATACATTAATGAAAGTACTTCCCATCACTTGTAAAACGCTACGAATTAATTCCAACACCTAATAAATCAGACAACAGTTAGATACAAAACTTAAGATGAAATCTTTGAAATGCGTAAGAAATAGAGATACTAACTATTTAATTGTTGGGATTCATCTAATAATAACCGTCGTAAATTATTGCATTATTGGGAAATAATAATAAATAAAATAAACATTGTAGAGATGGAAACTCATTTCCAACTAAATAAGTTCTCACAAGCTTTATCTAATAATTCGGTGTCAGTTTATAATTTAGACTATTTTTTTTATTCTGAATATGAATTATCTCAAAGATCAGTTTTTTATTTAAAATTCTCTCTTTATCTAAAATTTTAATATTATTCCAGTCGAATTCATGCGAATATTCTATACGATGCTCCGTGATTACTTGATCTTTAATATGTTGTCCTAGGTTCTGTTTTCCTATTAATATGTTTTTGTGTTCGCTAATTCTCGCTTTTAAAATTCTACTCCACGTATAATGCATCGCATTATTTGTACATTATATAAGTATGCATTAATAATTAATTATTAATAAAAAAAAAGTCTATTTTTATGAAACCTGATTCAATTTATTAACACCTCTATAAGTCATATTGACTATTCTGTTGATATTTAAATAGTTGTCAATTTTTTCTGAGATGCCTGAAATATAAAGTATACTAAAATATTTTTTATTATTACTCTTCTCTCTCTTGCCATCATCACCATTTCTATCACGTCTGCCTCATAAATGAAATTTTAAATCTTTGTTTAATTGTGGAAAAAATCAACTGCAACGGATGCTCATTGTTTAATAATGTTTTTATGATCTTGTCAAGATTTTTGGTCTGAAAAACAGGATGCGACAATAAAAGAACTCCATCTATTAATCCCACTACGACTCCTATTTTCTAACACATCGGATACTGAGAAAAATAATTTAGATAGCAACCTGAACACGTGAGTTTCTGATACAATCATACATGATAGAGTTATTGTATTTCAGCAAGGTCAAAAATTATGTTATAATTAATTTATGATTATTGTAAAAGTAAATAAATAAAATGTATTTATTAATATTTTTTAATATATGTACAATAACAATTACAATTATAATTGCGTTATAAAAAATATTTTTAATTTTCTATTAAATATATATACCTATATGAAATATACATACATATATTTATTCTTTATATATAAGAATATATATATGTTACGATATCCAAAATTGTATTCAATTAACTCTACAAAATTCAAAGTGAGATGCAAAATAGAGTAAACTAATGCAAATAAATTCAAAACGGCAAAAGACAATGTGATCGCTTCGTAAATTTTTTAAGGAATTTTTAAATATTATACAATTAGATTTGCAAATGATATATATAAATGACATATTTAACAATACAAATTGTAACTTTCATAATTTAAAGTCTGATAAATTGGATATTGATTAAAAGCAAATTTTGATAAAGTACAAAGATAATCAATATAAATTTATCTTTTATTTCTTGCCGTTCTTACAATATATCATACAAGTAAATAAAGCTTCATTCTCATATATGAAAATTCAATGCTTTTACTACGATTGTCGTCTTATTAATTATTATTATAATTTAATTTATAGTTATCTCAAATGTCATTCACACTCACAACAAATAATGTTTGCAATATGCTTAATGAAAATGCAGTGTTGCACAATTCCGTAACCATCTGAAATTTACATAATAGAAGAAAGAATCAATCAAATTAGTATAAGTCACTTTGCGACAAGTGAATTTCTTAATTTCGCCTTTCAATATATATCAAACGTCTGTTCATGCATCACCAAACATAACACCAAAATTATTTAATTATCTTCCTCAGACGAATCGTTGATTAACCACCTGCCTATGAAGACACTAGCGGGCTCAGCTTCTTTTACAACTGGCGGTTCACTTTTCGCAGCTTGAATCGATTCGAGCCTAAGCCTTACATTCTCGTAAAGGGTTGTTATCACGGTCTCTGTTATTTTGCTCGTTGTTATCACATTCGAGGTACCTGATATAAATTCTGTTGATGTTATAATGATGTGACCATCCGACAAACTCTGCAGTAAGAAAAAAGAGGATGAATTCAATTAACGCAGTAATTAAGAGTGTAATACTGTATTAAACATTACTTTGTATATTGTTTTAATTAAATTAAGATCGAATTCAAATTTATATTAAGTTGGAGTCAATTAAAAAGTATTAAAAATAATTTATTAATGTATATATTCGTCATGTTAATATATTAGATCGGGGAAAAAGTTTCTTCGTATTTAAAAAAATTTTTTTGCAAAAGTTTTTCATTTGTTGTGAAATTTTTGTTACAATTATATCATTCGCTAGAGCAAAGTTCCAGTTTTAAGAATCTGTTTTTTAAATAGCGATATGATGATTTTTATCGGAGTTACGAACAATCGAAGTCAAAATGCTGCTTTATTTAACAAAAAAATCATAGGAACATTTTTAAAAAATGATTTTGTA